GAGGAGTCTGTTTTCAAGCTGCAGGATTACAGAATGTGGTCATCTCCACTGCTGCAAAATATTTTTACTGTCGAGTCCAATTTGACCAGGCTCAACCATCAAGGCAAATGTTTCCTCTCCAAGGTTAAATTCTGAGTCCCAGGGACAGATGAGCATGAGAATGACTGTGTGTGTGTGTGGTGAGGTGGGGGGAGGGTGGGTTCTTCAATAGCCAGCAGCACAAATAAACACATCTAATATAAATTCTACTGGTCTTCGAAACTTTGTCTTGGAGAAGAACCACACTCACATTGTTTTATATTAATAAGGACAAGGAAGGATAGAATGAGAAACTGCACCAAAACCTAGAAACCCCACACTAGTTTTATTATGAATATTTGTAGGAAAAGCAACCAGGCAAATCCTAACATTTACTTTGCACGCTTCAGAAAGTGTTCAAAGTCAGAGAACATGCTAACCTGAAGTGTGGGTGAATCAATAAAGTCAACCTCTTGCTTAAAAAAAAAGCTCTCATCTATCATCAGAAATCTGAAGATTTTATTATCTTTTACATTTTCAAAATACAATGAAATTCATCTTTATATAATCTTTCTTTATACACAAAGGATTTCAAATGCTGATTACTGGAAGACTACAGGAAGCAGTCTGGAAAACAGGAGAAATTATTTTTAGAATGTTTCCGCCACTGGATCACAGGGGTGACTGTGGGGTGGTCCCAGAACCACCATTTCTCTGTTTATAGAATAAAATTAATTCCTACTTTCCCTAGCTCCCTGGGAAGCCATGGGGATGGGGATACCGGCCAAGGCCTCTGAGTCTTTCAGAAGATATAAGGTTCACCCCATGTCCTCAGGGTGAGTAGTTTGGAACAGGTGTTCTAATCAGTAAACTTGCCATCCTGGAGGGCACTTGTTTATACTGAATTCCATTCCTCATGGAAAATGCACTAGAATGCATTAGAATGTCAACTTCATGAGGTCTGACACCTCTATGTCTTTTGTTTATTTTCAACACCTAGAATTGCACCTGGTGTGTGTGTGCTCTAAAATAATCACTGAATGAGTGAACAGATGATATAGTTTCTGTTACTTATATCCTAAATGCAAATGAGAAAATAAAGGCACATAGCAATGGGGGATTCAGGTCACATACAGAATAAACAAGTAGAGTCTCTAAAAGGGTAAAATTGTTATTAAGTTTATGGAACTCTATACTTATACTTATTAACAATATTTCAAACTAGGAGAAGGTGGAGAGTGCAAGGAATCCTGCGCAATAAAAGTTAAAACAATTCTCAGGTCTTCCTCCCAAATTTACTAGTGTTTCTGACACAAGAGGAGCAGAGTCCCTGCTTCCAGAGAAACCACAATGCAAGCCAGGCGGGTGGTATGTGCACCCCCGAGGAAGCCCTGAGGGCCTGGTTTAGCTAAAGCTGGAGGGAAGAACTGACACTGTGCCTGTCTCCAGCAAGAGCCAGGAGTCCCAGGCTCTGGGCTTGTTGCTAAGCACATCTGTTCTTCCCACTGAAGCCAAATGACTGACTAAAAGGCAAGATGGTGAACAGAGCAAAGACATGTGCTCTCTCTTTCTGCAAAGCTCCCATTGAAATTATTCATAATCTGTATTTTTAAAAAACAAAACTCTACCAGCTGTGGGAAACTGAAAGGGTACTATCAGTGGATCAGAAATTATGAGGGATCCCAGAGAATGAAAATATATGAAATCTGAATGACAGGGAAATCAAAGCAAAGAAAATCCAACTGGAGACACCAGAGGTATGAGTGTGTTCTCTCCAGGGAGACCTGCAGAAGCTCAAAGTTAATCAGCAAGGAGGGTAGAAGTTGGGTGCAGGCTGAATTCATGAATATTGTGAATAGCTGAGATGGCTGTTGTCCGCACCCTCTCTCTGTTTCTGCCCTCTGCTTAAACACTGATAACTATTTTCCAGAGAGTTCATGGTTTGCCTAACAAGGGCTTCCCCTGGGAGCACTGGGGCCCAAGAAGGGCAGTGCCCACAGGGAAGCATTTGGAAAGACAGCTCCATCTAGGAATGAAAAGATGAGAGCACTTCACAGCACCACCCTCGCCACCAGAGGAAAGGCCTTACACTGGCAACTTAGGGGACCCAAGGCTTTCTTCTGCCCCCTGCCCATACACTCTCCAGGGAAGTCTGCCCCAAGCGTGTACATTCACCCACACAGTGACCCCAGGCCTAAATACCTGTGCTGGGCACTCATGCCAGGTACCTGTGATAATCAAACTAGCCCTTCATTAGTCAAGGTGACCTGACAACCAAAGATCACCGCATTTGAGACAAACCAAAAACAAGAAAGGAAAAGATGGACCACAGAGGAAAGAGAGGTGCTTCAGCAAACTGACGAGAACTGTAAGATAATTCTAATTAATAATCTTGAGATATTTAAAAGGATTCCAAAAAAAAAAAAATACGTTGTTATTTAAAAAAAAAAAAGAAAAAATATTCTTCCATTATAAAAAATCTCACAGGAAAACATTACATAGGATGAAGAAGATAGCTGTAAGGGCCAATGGATACACATACTGTAAGCTGCTCCTTCTTTTCTTGAAATGTTTTGGTCTTGAAATTCTTCATTCTCTTGACTTTTTCAGTGGCATCTGAGGTCCCCTGGCTGTAGTCACTCACTGGAAAGACAAAGAGTTGAGGACCAAAATAATGCCTTCCTTTCTTTCCCCACATGAAAAGAGCTAGAGTTGACTGCCATGCCCCTCAAGAGGTCAAAAGGATAAAACAACTTTTGTAGAAATTTTATTTGATTGAACCTGGCAGGAAGGACTCCTGGAGCCATTCCTCTCACTCCAGGACCAAAAGATGGCGGGAAGGAGGGGAATAGAAGTGACTACAGTTTTTAGGCCCAAAAGTGCATTCCCCACCTCAATTTATCTCCCCATGCCTGTGAAAGACTTTAAAAGTCTCATCCCAGACTTTAGGGAAACCAGAGGAATAAACTGGCTAGATCATGAAGGACATGTGTTTGGGCAAATGTTAAGCAATTCTGCCCTCCTTCCCAAATCAGTGTGTTCCTGGTCAATGGCTTTAAAATCAGTGGAAGAGTACAACTCACCCAAGCTGGACCTGCTGCCGAACAGCCCAGTACCACCCTCGGTGACACTGCTCAGAAAGTGGTCACTGAAATTCACTGCTTTATTGAAGTAAAGGTTCTGGCCAATGAAAAAAATTCAATCACCATAAATGATGAGGCTGCTACGTCCAATAGAAAGAAAGCTCTCCCAACCTGCTCCTCGTTTTGTTAATGATGGCTCCGTCCTCAAAGACGGTCAGCCCTAAAACTCGGACATCCTTCCCGTGATTCCTTCACCTCATCATGATGTTCTATCCATTTTGCCTCTTAAACAGCTCCTCAGTCTGGCCCCTCCTCTTAGTCACTACAGCTACAGTCCCTCTTCACACACTGGGATCATTACAACATCCTCCCAACAGGTTCCCGCCAGCCCAGCTTCCATGTGGCTGCCCTAGTCACCTCTACACAATTATAAGTAACTGTGTCATTCACCTACTTAAAACCTTTATGTGTCTTGGAATTCAGGTAGCATAATGGGGAGGCTCAAGCTGCAGAGTTTGAATCCTGGTTCAGTCACTTACTAGATTAGGAACCTTGGAAGAGTCAAGTTACTTAACTTTTCTGAGCCTCAATTTACTCACCTATAAATTGGAAATATTATGACCTACCTCAAAGGGATATTGTGAAAGTAAAATAAGGTAAAACAGATGTTTAGGAAATGAGGATAGATGATACATAGGCCAGACCTGGATTCCTATATCTACCTGGACTGATTTCACAGCATGACATCCTGCCCTGTCCTCATGTGGCTGCTTGTTCCTGACATAGGAAACCACCTGCTACTTCCTGAACACTAGAACACACAGGCTAAGAGAAAGCATAGAGTAAACCTGGAGATAATTACTCACATTGTAGATGCTATTGGTGCCCACCCAATTCCCCAGTTCCCCATCCCAGCTGCTGTGTTGGCTACTAACAGCTCACAGCTGACCACCTTCTCCAGCCAACTGCCCTCAGTCGGTGGATGTTGCCTTGCCCTAGAGGTTATGCTCCTCCCCTCCATGCCTCAGCTGGGGACAACTGTGTGGTGTCGTTCACAGTCCAGAGCTCCTCATGGATCAGGCTAAATAAAGCTAGACATTACTTGCAACCACCTGCTCACTCGCCTCCTCTCCTGCCTTTTCTAGTGTCCCTCAAGCCCCTTCTGCTGAAGTTCCTCCCTGACACAAGCTCTGCTCTAGCCACACAACCTAAAACATAGCATTTAGGGCTTGACTTGTTTTAAAGTACTTTCATGTGCATGATTCCATTAGATACACACTGCCTCCCTTTGATTTAGCCAGGGTCATGTAGCTATCCTAATTTTAAGATATTAGCGCCCTGCTGGGCACATGGCCAGGGCCTAATAAATGCTAGTTCTCCTCCTTTGCCTTGCCTTCTTTACCCATCTTCTCAATCCACTGATTATTCTTTTGTGCATTCTGACTTGTGCAATGACCCTAAATCTGCCAATATCAATCAATGATTGTTACACACTTACAGACTGTGATAATGGCCCAGTCACCATAAAGAGGGCAGATCAAGGGAGACGTGGCTGTAAAGTTTGGTTTCTTTTTTATAGGCAAATAGGTCAAGGTATATATGAGCAAACATTTTTGTCAGTATTTCCCCAAATAAGTTGTATCACAGACCTGCCATCAGATATCAGTGAGTATAAATAAACGTGAGACTGCAAGAGCAATCAGGTGGGTAATAATTCCCGTTTTTACTGTATCATTATATGCCTAAAGCTCTCTGAGGCTTACCTCAGTTATTTATCTAATTCTATGAAAAAGCTGGCCTATAGTCAAGTTTCATATTTGAAACTTTTCCCTTTTACAGATAACAGAGAAACATTAAATTGTAAGCCACAATTTACTAGTTCAGCCAATTCTCCAATGAATAATTTCTGAAGGTTTCACTTACCTTGTTTGAGACTTGAACATAATTCAGCCTGATGTTAACTTCATAGCCATCTTCATGGACAGTAGCAGAGATAAGCTTTTAAAAAAGAATTAGAATTCAAAACTGTGGGTATGGAACTCAGTGCCCTGAGCAACAGCAAAGAAATTCTGAGATGTCAAACCATAAATTTAATCAAATATTTAATTAACGCAAAAGAAGGCAGAAAAAGAGAAACAGAGAGACAAAAACTAGATAAAACAGAACACAAATAGCAAAACAACACAAATCCAGGGATATCTATAATTTCATTAATTATAAATGTAATTAGTAAATACCCCCATTTAAAGAGCAGAGACTGCCAGAATGGAAAAAAAGCAAAACACAAATTTATACTCTCTATAAAAAACACTAAGTTTAATCAAGCCACATGTCTGGATGTTATCACCTGGGAATAGGTGGCCTGGGGGCCAGGCCTTGGCAATCAAGGGCCAAGTATCACAGCTGAGCAGCTTTTTCTGTAACCAGAAGGAGGGACTTAGATCAAACAAGGGATCAACAAATCCTTTAAGGATCATATAGCAAATATTTTAGCTTTTGTGGGCCAAGGAGTCTATGTCATGAATACTGAACATTGCCTTTGGAGCACAAAAGCAGCTACAGAAAATGTAAACGAATAAATATAGCTATGATCCAATATTATTTACAAAACTGGTGGCAGTCCAGATTTGCCCCACAGGCCATTTGCCCCACAGGCCATCCAGATTCCGGGATTAGGCCAAAAAATTAATAAACCACCAAGACAGATTATCAAAGAAAACTGAGCAATACTTGACAGTGAAATAACATCAATGTTAGCCTATTTAGTGGCAGAATAGCGGACAGGCTGGGTTTTAAAGGTTCCTTCTAGTCTAATGACAGAGGAACAAGTCTTCTCACAGAGGTGTCTCTTTCTAATGGCAGAGAAAGGACATGGGGCTTGGGATCTGATAGACTTACTTCAACTCACTAGCAGTATAGTTCTAGGCAGGTCACCAAACCTCTCTGAGCCAGTTTTTCTGTGTCAAATGAGTTTGTTCTACTGCAGTGTAAAATAAACCCAAACTCAGTTTCATTAAATAACCTCTATTTTATCATGTTCAGAGATTCCAGTGGGGCCCAGCAGGGATGGCTTGTCATGTGCCATATGGCTAAGGCCTCAGCTGGGAAGACTCAAATGACTAGAGATGACTTCATTTGGGGACTGGAAAGACCTAAAGTCTCATCGGTCATCTGCCTCACTCCTGAACCAGATGACTCAAGGACTGGGTTCATCTGGAGCTGCAGACAAGTGCAACTACATGTGGCTTGGGATTCTCACAGCAGGACAGCTAGGCTCCAGAAAGGAGTATTGGAGGTGAGCATGCCAAGCAAGACCACATGCCC